AGTTCATAATTTTTGTATATGTTCTCGCCTTCCTCTGATATAAATCCATGCCATTCCTTATTTTTTGATCAGGATCATTTGCGGTCCAATATGGGGATCATTTCCGGTCCGGAATCATTTGCGGTCCAATTTGGGGATCATTTGCGGTCCTGGGATCATTTGCGGTCCAATTTGGGGATCATTTGCGGACCCGTACAGTACGGACGGATAAAATTTGAAATCATGCAAGTTTTCAAGTTCAACTTCCAGCTGTCAAACTGTCAACTTTTTAACCAATGAGATTTTATGGATTTTTTTGAGTAGCCAATAAAAAAGCGAGAAAAGCTATTGACAAAGTTCGCGTCATTTTGAATAAAATTCATTTATCTTTGTTTACGGTAAGTTTACGGTGTCTTTTCCCTCATTTTTTCCCGGTAATTGACCATTTTGCGGCGAGTGGTTCCGCAGTGAACTTTGACAATGTTATGACTAAATTTATCATCAATAAGAGGACAGACGCATAAAAAACTGACGTCAACTTGTTAAATATCACCGTAACACTACGTGTACTGTGCGGCAAATGGCAGTCACTTGACACCAATTGCCACTTAGTTTATTTGAACTAAGGATGCAAATAGGAGAGAAATACACCGTGGAATCCTACTTCGTCAGAAGCTAACGGCGAGAAGACTTCAAGGGGGCAGTACAGTTCGTGAGCGTGGTTGTCATATTGCCGGCTCAAGATGTTTGCTCAAAGTATTTTGGGATCAGCTCAGACAATACCAGCATGTATTCACTGGCTTCAAGATGAGTGGATTTCTTGTCAGATTCTTTCCAAGACTTTCCCTGGTTATAAAATAACCTTTTTTGGACACTGCAGCAGATGAAGATCTATTCCGAGATGTTGCTTGCCGCAAGTTTTTATACACCAGACTAAGTTGCTGCTGTATTTTTGTGAATGTTTTGGTTTTGTACCAGAACACTTAAGCCCAACAAGACAATAAAATGCTGTTGATATTAATAAAAATGTTAAAATAATGACGAAAAGAAATAGAGCGTAGTCTGGCAGTTCATAAGAAATAAAGTTCCTCACAAACGATTTCCTTCAACGATGCAGCCAGGAATGTCATGAGATAACAAACATATCCTGTTAATTTTAGCTCACATCGTTATTTTTATAAAACCATTTGAATTTCGCGCTAATAGCGATTTAGCCACTTAAGTAGTTCAGAGTAACTTGATTATGACGTTTCTGTTTCAAAGGCTACTAAAGAACGGACCATTAGAAAAGTCATGACGGAGGAGGGATGGGAAAAAAAACTAAAAAGAATTCATGCAAGAAAGGGTGACTTAAAAAAATCGTGCAAAGAAGTGAAGGAAAAAAAATTCCTGCGGAGTGAACTGTCGGGCTTACAAACTGTACCCGCCTGAAGGGCACCTTGGTCCCGGTGGAATCCTCATTCACCGGCTTTTCTCTACAATTAGGAAAGCAGACATTTTTACCTCAGCATGGACACTGGTAGCCAAACACCCTTGCAGAAAAACCCTTGCGGATAACCATGGCTTAAAAAGTGATATAAAAAAAACATGTGCTATAAACAGCCATCCTCATGTATAAATGACGATTGTGGACACAGATGTACACACCCAGGGCGAACCGTAACACTTCCCCTAATCAACGTTGGACAAACGTTGTAATCAAAGAAAATCATGGTGTTACCACCAATTTCATTGAAATCAAAACTCTCGCGAGCATTTGGCGATTCGCTCCCGTCAATCATGCGTTCCTTAAGGACGGTGCCTACTTTTGTTAGTGCGCACACGTTCTGCGCATCGCGCAAGGCATGGTTTAAGCGCCACGCGCGCGCTGGGTTGACATGACGTAATCAACTACGTTACCAAGTACACGACTAAATTGAAAGCAAGATTTTCTTACTGTAACCAAATCAAGTTTAATGAACCTGTACTTAAACCAGGAACACAAGAACAGCAGCAT